AATAGAGAATCATATTCAATTTAAAAAAGCTAAAAGCATTCATCACAAAGGTTCATCACAAGGGTTCTTCACTTGTTTCTATCCAAGGAAAATTAAAAATAAACAACACAATGAATTTCAAAACATTACTAACTATCTTGAACATAATTATAAGGATCCTCATTTGGAGGAATTCCATAACTTGTAACTCCATCAATCCCAACCCAAAGTTGTTCATTTTCATTTTCATTTTCAGGAATCTGTGGGATATCTTCCTCATCATAAACAACATTATCAGTATCATCAAGACTTTGATTTGGCAAAGACTCATCAATAGTTGCCCAATCCACATCATAATCATCTTTGTCAAGAAGAGCTGGTTCCTCAGCTACCCAATCAGCTAATATATCAATATTTTCAAGACTAAGAGGATCCATTGCTTCTTTGCCTCTACAAATAATTCTATAAACAAACAAAAAATTATAATATTATAATACTTTTAAGCTAAGTTAAAAATGAAAGCTAAGTTATATGCAAAAACTAAAGCAACTATAATTTTAAGAGATTATACCTTTCTCGAAGCTTCAAGTTATAACGAACAAACACAATGGCATTCAACCTTTCATGCTCTAGCTTATTCCTCTTCTTAGAATGAACAAAGTCAAAAGCACTCCAATTCCTTTCACATCCAATTGCACTTGTGCATTGGCTAAGCACTCGAATTGCAAACTTTTGCAATTCTGGTGTATCCGTTCCAAATTGATCCCACCATGCAACTATAAAAACAATAAAATACAATGTGCATTAAAATAAATAAAGTAAATTTTTTTTAAATAAACTGAAAAGAAAGCTAAGATGAAAGAAAATTACCCGGATTTAACTTTTCCCTTTGACGAATAGCCAAACTCATGCCAAAGGTTCCTGTAGCTTTCTTATACTCCTCAAGTTGTGAACTAATGAGATCTTGCTTCTCCTCATCCGGTATCAATGTTGTTAAGGTATTAAGCAAACCTCTTGTAACAGCAGTTTGTTTGTTGAAACCAGGCCTAAAGTAGATACCTGGATTAAGAAAGCATCCAGCTGAATGTAATGGGCTATAAAGTTGCCTATCCCATCTAGCATCAATCACCTTAATGTAAGGCATGTATTGAGACAACCTATTATTAAAATTCTTTTTAATTGTCTCCTTTGCCTTATCTATTGCCTCATACAAGTAGCCCATACTCGGCTTCTCTTCATTGTCCACAAGTCGAAACACTCTCACCAAAGGCTCACTGATTTTGACAATCAATATGCAATTAGACCAAAATTCTCTATCTTCCAAGACAATTTCACATACTTCTTTCCCAACACTACTTCTTGCATACCTAGAACCAACCCATGCATCACTTGTAAACATTTGCCTAAGCTCCTTCTTGAATTTCAATAAACATTGGATGCTCAAAAAATGGGTAGCAAATCTTGTAACAGCAGGACGACACAAATCTCTCCCATTTGTGTAGTCCCTCCTTATCAATGCTAGCACCCATGAATGATTATATATGAACTTTGTGATTTTTCTTGCCTTTCCTATAGTAGTATCAACTATAAGAAAGTATCTTGCATCAGAAAAATTTTCTAACATCAAGTCAATACAATGGGTAGCACAAGGAGACCAAAAAAATGTGCTGTACTTTGCTTCCAACCTTTTCCCAGCAACTTTGAATGAAGCATCATTGTCTGTTATAAATTGTACCACATTTTCCACTCCCACTTCTTTCACCACTTCATCAAACATCCTCTCCAATGTATCAGCATCTTTTGTCAAACCAGAAGTGTCAACAGAATTCAAAAACATGCTTCCTCTAGGACAATAAACAAGGAAATTAATTATTGGTTGCTGCCTTTGATTTGTCCATCCATCTGCCATAATTGAACAAC